TTCTAGAAAACCATGCTTGTGGCATTTGTGTGGCACAAAACATTGCACAACCTCTCATCATTCCAATAATCAATCCCCCCAAAAAAATAAAATTCAATTTGCACCGTATATATGGTCAAATGAGTCTCCCTCCAACAATGCATATAGACCATCCATTTGGTGAGTTTCAAGTTCTAGGCCTTTGTGAACTCAAAATAAATTTTTTTCTTTTTAACATTGTTCATCTTAATGATTATAAAGCAATCTAAAAAATTTGGAATAGGAAAATATCCTTCTAAGACTTAGATCTAAGCTGCTCACCAAAATGGAGGGCCTACATTACTTTGGAAAAAAAACACTTTCTAAGGTGTGTTTCAAAGTTCACTTTTTTTGTGATTGGTCTTACTGAGGATATGGTCCTTGATAGAGCAGAATGGCGCAACAATATTTGTATAACTGACCCTAAATAGTTGAGATAAGGCGCCGATGATGATGTGATTGTTCATTAGAATGAAAATAGTATATATTTAAAAATTGAGGTGAAAGAATATTGGGTTTCGTGGCCTTTAAAGGCATGGAGAGCTTGTAAAAGGGAAAACTTTATAGTGGAATATGCACTTTAGTGGGAGTGTGTATTGACTAACTATGAGTTGGGCTGTTTATGACCCTTAGCCCTAGCCCTGTACATGTGGCACTACCAAGAAAGGTTTACATAGGATCATCCCTTGTTGAGGTTGGAGTATAGGAATGACTATGATAACGTTCAGCCTGTTTGCAAAAATGACATCAATTCGTGCTATTCTCGTTGCTGCATCTGCTAAATAGTGGCCTCTCTTCCAGCTAGATGTAAAGAATGCTTTCCTCCAAGGTGACCTTAAATAGGAAGTCTATATATCCATGCCGCCTAGATATGTGTAACAAAAAGACTCTCATAAATGCAAGCTTAAGAATGCCTTCTATGGCCCTAAGCAAGCTCCAGGTTCCATAAATTTAGTGATGCAATTGAGAAGGAAAGGTTTCAAAGCCCATGAATGATCTTGGTAGGCCAAAGAACTGTCTGATCTCTTGTGCAGTTGTGGTTCTGTGAAAGAAAAGGCCAAAACGTCAACAAGCTTCTGTACAACATGTACGCATGACAATTGCATTACTAAGAAGCAACCCTTATAGAGGAGCATGTGTATATATGCATAGAGAGAGCCCCATTTGCATTGTAGTCACAATTGTTGGGCTTGCTTTCAAAGGGGAAATTGAAATCTATATTCTAGAATCATGATTTTACTGTTTATCGACCAACTTTGATAAGCCAATCATGAGCTTGCATTGAGATTGTGAGTCATGGGTCTTTGTTGGGTTGGATGAGAAAACAGTAGTAAATTATGGTTTTTAGGTCTAGTAGAGTACCCTTATTGTCATTAATATTTAACCCATTTGTACCCATCCATTTTTAATATTTTATTTTTGGTATTAGAAATGCTTTTTTTTTTGTAATTTTTAGAAATGTTTTCAGAATTTTAAAAATTAATTTCTGTTGTAAATTCATTAAAATAGGTATTTTCAAAATTTGACAAAACTAAGAAGGGCACATGTGGGGACCAAGGATCCAGCCCCCACATATGTGTGCCACCATTGTGTAGGACGTGTGGCCTTGTGGGGCCCACAAAATGCCCATAGGGTGGCCCCCCACTTATATATTTTGTGTACCACTTTTAGTTAAAAGTTTGGTTAGTTAGGGAATCTTTTAAAATTGAAATAGATAGTTACCTATTCAAGTGTGAGTTTTTTTTTTAAAAAGATTATCTTTGACTTCCTATGGATTTTGGAAGATCTAGATAATACTAAAAGTGGTTATAATTCAATTTTAAATAAAACTTGGACTTGGGTCAATTTATAAAGGGATAAGATTCCTAATTTCCACCCAAAATCATGATGGCTGATTTGTTGGATGGATGACTTATATTTAATCTTTCTCACTCCACAGATTTCCTATCCTAATGGTCAAGTTGAGCAAATAAAATACAGCATACCTAGAAAAAATCTTTTTCCAAGTGGGAGATAGATTTCTTTCTATTTGAACACTATTCGAACCTCTCTCAAATCATTAAGAAAAAAACTCTCTTTTTCACACCAAAATATCTCACGCTCTCCCCAAAAAATAAGTCTCTATCTCTATCTCCCATATTTTGGTACGCCACCCTCTTTCCTTCGATGCAACCCTCTCTCCTTCTGTTGGTGTGATGCCACCTTCACCCCTTCTCTTGCTTGTGGAGGAACCCCAAAAGAAAAGAAAATAGGTGGTGGCACATGAAACCCTAGGACTAGTGTTTGCTAAGAAAGAAGAGGAATGTGCAGCCTCGAGTGAAATTAATTCTCAAGTTCAAACCAAATATGTTCCTATAGGGTGTCTACAAACCTTAGTTGAGTTTTTGACCTATCTAAAACTTTAGATTGAAAGATATTGCCTGAAAGCATCCCTATCTCAAAAATTCTAGCGAGACCAAAAAGATTAAAAGTGCGCCATCGATCAAAGAATTGGGTGTGGGGTGTATCAAGCCCTATGAGGGTGACTCAAGGCATCATCCAATAAGTCTTCCCAGTTAATTTTATTATTTTTCAGTCACATTTTATATTTTTCTATGAATTTCTTGAACCATATTCTGTACTCAAAACTTGATTATTGCTCATGGTTCTTTTTATTTTCTGTGACAGTAAAAATAAAGACTAGCTTGTATTTAGGGTTTTAATTTTGATTTACAGTAGTGTATAGTGATTCAATGTAAGTGGAATTCAGGTATATTGAATAAAAGAAAAAGAGAATTTTTGAATTTACTGCCGTGTTTTCCACACAACCACTCTTTTCAAGAAATACCGTGATTTGCTGATATAGTTTTTGAAGATTATTTCATTATATTACTATAGAACCATTGCATGAAATCACTCCCCATATATATATATATATATTATATCAATGAATATGGATCTCCACATCAATTGAGTAGAACGAGCCAGCAACCTTCCCTTCCATGCTGCTCTTCCTCCTCTCCTCCTCCTCTTCACTCCTTGATAAAGTTTCACAAAATGTCCGTTGTTATCATATCTTCGAGGATTGTTATTTTGTGCCCATGTTTTTGCTAGTCCCACTGCTACCCTTTAAGAAAGGTGAAAACAACAATAATCTATATATGTGTGCAGGTATCTGTTTGTGTGTATCAGTTCCTTCTAAAAGAGGATTTTAAGTCTAGGGCTCATTAGGCAGGAGATTTATTATTGTACACCAAAGCTCTGTGTGCATGTGTGTGTGTGCGCGCACGTGCCTGCGTGTGTGTGTGTGATGCTCTATTAAAAAAATAACGTGACTTTTGTTCTGCAAAAGCACCCACCCACACTCCAATGTGGAGTTACTCCAATGTATAAGCTTTTCTTCTTGTTCTAAGATTTTTTCTACTTAACCTAAAAGACCAATAGTTCATAAACCTATCCTCAAAATCAGTGAAATGGATAGGGTATTTGTTTACTGAATTTACGATATTCACTTAATCTTTCTTATGCTGTTAGGTGGAGCAGCTGCATAAGATATTCAAGTTATGTGGGTCACCGTCAGATGATTACTGGCGAAAGCTCAAGCTGTCAACAAGCTTCAGGCTTCATCAGCCATACAAATCTAATATTATAGATGCATTCAAAGACTTTCCTGCGTCGTCATTGAGCCTCTTGACTAAGCTGCTGGCACTGGATCCTACAGAACGTGGAACTGCATCTACTGCACTCCAGAGTGATGTAAGTGAAAGTATCTTGAAGTGCATCTTTCGCAACATTTCAATTAGAAACATTCCTGCTTAGATATTCATTTTGATCTGTTATCTTTTCAATGAGGAATCTGATCATAAAATTCTCATTTGCTCTATTAATGTAGCAGTGAAGAACTTATTATCATGAATTGGTTCCATTGGCCAAAAGGCGGCTTCAATCGAAGAAAACTCATGCCTGCATACTAAAGATCTATAGATGTTGATATATTTCTTTTTTTCCTGTTTATATGCGCTTAATGTATTTAATATCATTGATTTCATTGATACATGTCTTGCATGTATGTCAATGATTGTCTTCTTATGAATAACCTGGCGGCGAAATCTTATTTCTTTATCTGCTACTGTTAGTTGAGTTATATGTAAATTGGTGTAGGCAAATTTTTTGTGTCCGCTTGGACTTGGCTGTCGCACACTCAAGCTTGGCACCCAGTTAACCTTGGGAACCCCTCCTAATAGGGTAGGGGGTACTGTAGATCTACTTAGGTAAGTTATTATAGAAACTTAACGGAGTTTGTCAGAAACTTGGCAAGTTTTGCTGAGTCTGTCAGAAGCAGCGTTTTAAAAAACAGCGAGTCGAACCGGACTCGCTCGGTTCGACTCGGGAACAGGCATAGCCCGTGCCGGTTCCAGCACAAAACCGGAAATCGCCCGGTTCTAGAGTAGAACCGTCGGTTCCCATCCGGTTCTATCCTGTTCAGCCCGGTTCACACACGTAACGCATGACACGCACGTGCGAGCGTGCCCCACGCCCACTCACACGTGCACACTTGCACACGTGTGTCCGAGCGCACGTGCAAGCGTGCCCCACGCACACTCACACGTGCACACGTGTGTCCGAGCGTGCCCCACGCACACTCATACGTGCCCCACGCACACTCACGGGTGCACACGTGTATCCAAGCGCGCGTGAGGTTGCCCTAATATTTTTGCACATATGTTATTATTTATATTACAGAGGTATTTATATACCAAAGTTGAATAC